ATAATTTCAAAGTGTTTTCCCCTAAGGTTAATAAGCAAAATCTGTTCATTCTCATTGTAAAGTTAATTATTCATACAGAGCCAGAAATGAGTTAATATTTATATTTTTCAAAGTTCAGGATGACTTGATGTTGTAACTTCATCAGCCAAATTTTAGTGTGCCTTCATACCTGCTTTATCCATGCAGAGAATAGCTAAATCCAATTACGCTAATTTTTTTCTCAAATAATTAGTAGCCTCGAATAATTCTATTTTTTAGGGTACACCACTGAGGAGAGGACTGTTTCTATTTCAACTTGTTCAATTTCTACAGCTTAAATGATTTTAGTGCTGAGAGCCAGGGAGCACTTACATGTCCTGGAGGAATTGGAAGAGCCCCGGATCCATTATATGTGTACTAACCCACAGAACTCCAGCTTCTAAATAAATGCCACCGCTTCCTCTTGCTCTCACTAATGACTCTGAAAAAAGAGTTCAGCTGCAGCCTGTCCTACAGGACAGCCACACAGGATTTATGAAGACTCCATGTGAGGAATCTTCTTTCTGCAAGGAAAAAAAGGAGAGAGAGGGAGGGAGTGGGGGATGGTGCTGAACAGACTCTCCTGGGGTTCTCTGTGGTGAATGCTCCTCCAGTTCCCTGAAATCATGCTACTGCCAATGTGCTTTTCACCCAGCAGTGGTCTGCGATCAAAGGAATATGGATGCAACAGCAGGCAAAATTACAGGCGTCTTAACATGCATTCAGAGCACAGGAGCAACCTCTCCTTAGCATAAGCCCAGTGCACTTTCTTATCCTTGTGGCCAGTTACCTCCCCATGTGAACTCTGCACTCTCATTGACTGCATCAATACTGCTAATTCCCAGGGTCATACCTACCTGCCTGCGTGCCTTTGCTTTTATTTATTTTTCCTTGTGTTTTAATAAAATTCTCACCCTTCCCAGAACTCTGCTTGTCCAAGTCCTATTCCTTCAAATCTCACCTCAGTGCCTTCTACCTGAGGCATTTTTCAGGCCCCCAATACTAATGACATCTCACACTGCCAAATCCCAACTATACTAAACTGGGGGGGAGGGGGAGAGCAGGGGTGTCTCTCAGCTCATCCTGCACCCTCTCTAATCTGGGACCCCTCGAGGGATATCTGACTGCCAGGATTGGGCTTAAATGGGCAGTCAGACATCCCTCTCACAATCTAGGACTGCTGGCTCCCAACTGCTTGCCTGCCTGCCTTCCTAATTGCCTCTAACCGCTTCTGTCTGCCAGCCTGATCACCCCTAACCACTCCCCTGCCAGCCTGATTGATGTCTAACTGCTCTCCTGTTAGCCTGTTTGTCCCCAACTTCCCTCCTCTTCCAGCCTGGTCACCCCTAACTGCTCTCCTCTTCCAGCCTGGTCACCCCTAACTGCCCTCCACTTCAGGTTTGATCGCCCCCAACTGCCCTCCCTTGCAGACCTGGTCCCTCTCAACTGCCTTCCCTTGCAGGCCTGGTGCCTCCCAACTGTCCTCCCCTGCTAGCTCTCTTGTGGTGGCCACCTTGTGTCCACATGGGGTCAGGATCTTTGACCCCATGTGGGCAGTCAGCTTGTGTGTTGGAGTGATGATCAATCTACATATTACTCTTTTATTACATAGGATAGAGGCCTGGTGCATGGGTGGGAGTCGGCTGGTTTGCCCTGAAGGGTGTCCCAGATCAGGGTGGGGGTTCCCTTGGGACATAGGGTCGTCTGGGCAAGGGGCCTGGGTGGTTTGCAGGCTGGTCACGTCCGGCAACCCAAGTGGAGGCCCTGGTATCTGGAATTTATCTTCTACAATTGAAACTTTGTAGCCTGGAGCAGGACCAAGCCTTCTGCTGGCTCCATGGTGGCAGGGGATTTATTTACCTCCTGTAATTGAAACTTTGTAGCCTTAAGTGGAGCCCTGGACCGGCCAGGGTATTTGGAAAGCTTGGCTTCCTGTATCATCTGGGAAACCCAAGCTTCCTCTGTGGCCTCAGCCATCTTGACTGGGTTAATTTGCATACTTGCTCTGATTAGCTGGTGGATGTGGCTTATGGGTGTAACAGAGTGATGGTTAATTTGCATATTATTCTTTTATTAAGTAGGATACCTTTTTAACATTAATATTTGTTTATCTTAGTCCCCCACTGCAGTATGAGATCCTTGAGAGTAGCAGGAACTGTTTCTGTTTCAAATCCCTCTAGTTATCCTGTGATTCATTGGACATAAACATTGCATGTTGCACTCAATACATGTGTATCCAATTAATGTTTTGAACACTTTTTTTTTTAAATCAGGCATCTAAATTATAAGGACTTCAATGCCAGAACCAAAAGCATCATAGGTCTGTTCAAAAAATATCCTAACAAAGCTTTTATGGACTTGATATTGAGAGAAAAAGTTATTTTTTTTTTTTTAATTTCTAAGACAACAGTTGTATATAGTAAGTCTTTTTATATGAACATGGAAGTTTATTTATTTGACAGAATCTCATTGAAGTATTTTAAACTCTCCTTGATGGAATGACAGAAAGCCTAACTAATCATGAAAGCATGAAGCATATACTTTTATGTATAAGAATTTTTTAAAAATACACATCACTAATTTTGTCAGGGATGACATTTTATAATTTCCACAGGACAAAGGAAATATTCCCAGATGTCTGGCATTAGATCTTCCCATGAATAATAAATAAATTGAGTATCAAATCTATCAATTTTTCTACCATAAAATTATTCCCAAAACAACATGACAATGCTGCAGTGACTGATTATCCCAAGCCACGCTTTCAAAATTGCCATATCCTCATTATAATTAAAACCACATTGGGGCTCATCTAAACAAGGAGCCTGACATCAGGCCAAAACTGCTGAGAAGGCTTTAATGCGGATAAATAGCCTTTATGTCTGTAAACTTAACAGCCATCGTGCAGTTCCTCACCACGTTATGCTGAGGTGGTAGAAGTTTTTTTCTTTATCAGTTTTTCCAAAGCCAACCAAGTTAAACCTGATGTCAAAAACAATTCAGGGTTTCAAAATCACAGTTTGAGCAGCACTGGTATCCTCACAGTGAAAATGAGGCCTGTAAACACATTTTTGTAGATCAGTAATTTTGCTATTCAATATTGGTTCAAATAGTTTTATCTTTAGTTTATCTATAATTAGCATGTATTTATCTGAGAGATAAGATTGGATAAACCTAGAGCCTCGGGGAATGGGTAATAAGAGTGCTGTTTACTTCTTCCCTACCCAATTAGTACGTTTTAGGATTCATTCCTATTCAAATCTTAAACTTTTTTCCTTAGGCTGCCAGAGCCTCTGAGCTTTGTGATGGACGACAGAATATGAACTATGACAGATGTTTACACCTTCATGAAGCTGGGGGACGTTAATGAAATGTGTTTAATGCAGGTTATTCTGATGTTGGCCCTATGTTTGACACTGCATAAATGATTCTAAATTGCATAAATTACATGTTGATTTATTTGCCGAATACAGGAATGTCCTTACTCATAAGGAAGGTGATACCTGAAGATCAGCTCAGGGTGTGGATTTGTTTTTTTGTTTATGACTTTTACCCAAATCTCAAACTTTTGAGATCATCTTCCATGTTAAAGCCACTAGGTATTGAATCACCTTTTCTTCTTTATTTTTCACTTTTTAAAAACTCGCTTTTTTGCCGAGACCGGTTTAGCTCAATGGATAGAGCATCAGCTTAGGGACTGAAAGGTCTCGGGTTCGATTCCAGTCAAGGGCATGTACTTTAGTTGCGGGCATATCCCCATTAGGGGGTGTGCAAGAGGCAGCTGGTAGATGTCTCTCTTTCATCGACATTCCTAGCTCTCTATCTCTTTCCCTTCTTCTCTGTAAAAAATCAACAAAACATATTTAAAAAAACAAACAAAAAAAAACTCACTTTCCTATCTAAAATCCACCTTTTATTAAATTCAAAATTATTTCATTTACTATCATAAGTATTTGTGATAAACACCCAAGATTTGCAACATTATACAATAACAACCAGTTATTTTCTGCTCCTGAGATGAAATCCAAAAGCTATATAACTTTTTAATAGCTCAAATTGTCAATAAATTAAGCAGTACATTACTCCAACACTCTGCTTTTCATTTTCATAGTTGGAATTATAAATAGCATAGTGGCAAGAAAGTGGACTCCATAAACCCCTCGCTGTTCCTGGGGCCACCATCATTTAAGCTGTATGGACTCTTCAACTTTATGATTTTTAACTTGTGAGTCAGTGGGTATAAAATCAAGTCTCACTACTAACAAAGTTCTAGGGCTAGAACATATAATAGGGCTAAAACATAAAAAAGGATCCATTATGACAGCTCCAGATCATATTCTATTAATTAAAGGATATTTCTATTCTACCCTTTGTCATCGCTATCATTACTCCTGCTTACAGTGGATGCATCTTAAAACCACATTTAGTGAAATATATTTTGGAATCAATGACATCTTAGATTTTAAGAAATACATTACCATTACTGTATGGCTTTTTCTGTAATGCTATGGAAGAGCAGTAAGCATTAGTTGATTTTAAAACTTGTTTCTAATCACCCTATAGCCTAACATATTAAAATAAGCAGAACTTTAAAAGCTGTAATTAAGACTTTAGGTTTGGGGGGTAACCTTTGAAAACACACTTGGTTTTCTCCATCCACAGAGTCTTAATGCCCATGTTTCCTCTGGCCAGCAATCACATAGATTTCTCTGGAAAACAGTGTCCTCTCTCTCTTTGAGGTCCTCCATACACCCCCCAAAACAGAGTTCATGTACAGCACATATTTTATGCTTTAAGCCACACCACACCACACCAAATGAAGTAAGGTTCATAGGTAATTTGCCTTAGCAGTGTGCTGGCCATATGCTTTGTGCTATATATAAGTAACAGATGTCATTGTTATTGTTAATTTCAAGAAACAGGAAGTGATAAAGTTTCTGTTGGCACCATATCTAATCTGCTAACATTGTTCATTTTTATAGGTGGAACTCACTGTCCAAATACAAGTGCTTTGCAAGAGGTGCGCAGCTGTAACGAGCATCCCTGCACTGTGTATCACTGGCAAACGGGTCCGTGGGGCCAGTGCATTGAGGACACCTCGGTATCATCCTTCAACACAACTGCAGCTTGGAACAGGGAGGCCTCTTGCTCTGTTGGCATGCAGACAAGAAAAGTCATCTGTGTGCGGGTCAATGTGGGCCAAGTGGGACCCAAAAAGTAAGGGCTTTAGAATGTCAACCGTAAATCCTGTGGCCAGCCACGCAGGGGATTGGCTCAGGCTTCACTTGCCTCATGAAATAGAACATTTCGATGCTTGTCATATCTGCCCTCAAGAGTAAGATTTGTTTGTTTTGAGTGTCAGCCACTGATAAAGTTATACCAGCTTCAGAGTCTTGTGCCCTGGGGTCCATAAATTCTGTAGAAATGTTTCTGGGTGATACCTGCTTTCAGTTTTATGGTAGCACTTTCTGCTCTTATTAAGCTGGTGAGGCAATGAAAGAAGTGCTTGCTCTAGGCTTGGCTGATCAATAATGACAGGAAGCGAAGTCCTAGCTGTGCAGGTCATCCATGACTTCCTATACACCGGTAGGCTACGGAGACTGCCAATCTAGGTTAATTGGGTGGTAGCCTTCTATGATCTGCCTTTCATTTCCCCTAGAAAATATATTTTAAAATACTGAGGCTAAACTTATTATGTCTTTTAGTTGTTAAATGAAGCTATTTACATCCAAGAGAGATTCTTGGGAGAGGATGAGTTTTATGATAAGTGGGAAAACCACCAGTTTCTTACTGTGGTTACCAATAGTGTAATAACAAGGTGAACAGTTTGCTAAAGGAGAGGATAAAAAAAAAAAAAAAAAAAAAAAAAAAAAACTAAAGAATTGGAATATGTGCCTTGTGAGAAATATAAGCAAAAATGAGTCGTGACTTAACTGGGCTAATCATTCTTAGAGAAAAATTAATAAATCAATTCTAAAAATATAATCCTTTCAAGGGAAACTTTATCTTATGAGATTTAGATATCACAGGTCTTTTAAAATTCAAACTATCTTAGTCATGTGAAACATTAGAAGTAAAACCAGTCAAGTTTTGCTTTGGTATAAATGGCTTCATGAGTTCCAAATTTCATAATTGGTCAGCTGCTTAAATATTAACTGAGTGTGGCCTGTTTTCAGAGTTTACTGAAAAGATTTAATGGAAGAAAAATAGTGCAATGTAAGCACGTAATAAATCTTAAAAATTATTTTCTTTTAAAAATTTGAGCTACTTTTTAGTATTTCAGGGAAATGAAAATAATGTACCTGATCAATGAAAAAGCCCAAGGAATTTGTAAGGCTCCCCTTACCAGTTTATTTTACCTAGCCAGCATCCCACACATTAGGGATATTTCACCCCATATTTTGTTTATGTAGTTTGAAATTAGAAAACATATGGCAAAAAGAGTTGACCAATTGAGAAATTATTTCACATGCTTACCAGGTAGCTCCAAACCAATATTTTAACCAGTTAACTGCCACGTGTCCAAAACAGAAACCATCTCACTTGCGGTTATGGTTTACAAAGGATCAATAGAAATTATGCTAAAGTTGTGATGAATCTATCAAAGGAAAATAATGTACTGTGTTTTAAAATGTAATAGAGTAACAGCAGGGGCAGAAACCCTGGAGGATTCTAGGTTTTGCTGGGACAAGCACAGAGGTGGAAATATTCACTGCAGAGGGTTCTGTCATGGCATAGGATAGAGGATTATTGTGCTGTACTTCTAGAGTAAGCTCCTATTTTACAGTTAATCTCCTCTCAAATGTTGCTATTGATGGTTTCCTCACTTAAGCAAACTACAAAATATTTTGCTGAACAATGGAAGTACGTGTGTACAGCAAGTACGTGTGAAAAAGCCCTCTGGGTTCCTGTCATTAAATCGTTCAGTAGGGAGGGTATCCTGGAGCCCCATGCGGGACCACAACAATCCATTAAAAATGCGCTTTGCCCTTGCAGCCTATATGCAGTGACCTGGATACGTGGATAGATTTGTTAAATCAAAAGGATTTACTTTGCCCTTACAGTTCTGAAAAAGTAAGCAAATACTGTAAATTCAAAAAAAAACATTATTGCCCTTACGCCTAAATGCTAGATTAAACTCCATAAACGCTTTTCAGCACTAGTCATTTGAAACAGAAATGCAAATAGAAACCTTGTGTTAAACTCTTAATAAAACAGATTACTGTGCAATGGTAAAATCAATGTTATTGATTTCACCTTTCCTCTGAGTAACAAACTTCAACTCCTATCACATCTATTTAATTTGACCTTGAATAAGATTTGGGGGGAAATCAATTCCTTGATTTAAGCCACAAAGACTAAATACAGACAGTACAAAAGAGAGAAGAAGCGTGATGACTGAACCAATTGCCTCGCCAAAGGAAGTCTGGATTTATTTTATTGGATGTAATCTGGGTTGTATAATTTATCTTCGTATGTTCACGGAATGAGCTTGTTGTTAGTAATTTTGTTCTCCACAGTGAGCCAAGTATCTTGCTGTGGATATTTCCAAACAAAAGCAAAATTTTGGAGGTTGACAATGATAACATTATAAATTCCACTGATTTTCAGTGCTAACATTTTAAGAGCATGCAATTGAGTAATGCTCTCCCGTGGTCTAAGTTATAAAATTGCCTCATTGAAAAAGTGTGCTTCCAGTGATAATTACTAATCAATAATTTCATAGTTCCAAAGAATGAACAGAATTATACGTGGGATTTTGCCATATAATGTTTCCTGGTTAAGAATGAAGGTTAAATTATAATTCCAGTGATTTATAGTCTCAATTGCATCAATACTTTAACTTCTGTGATTCACAGCTAAATTTCTTTGTCATACACTGACTTTGAATAGAAATCATAATTAGAAAAACACAAGCTTATTCTTAACATAAAACCAGGGAGATTTATTTTTTTTTTTGAAATGTTGAATCTGGTGTGAGAGAGGAAAACATGTACCTGAATAACTGAATGGAACATAAATAATTATAAGCTATATAAAAAACGAAGCATCAGTAAGGTGCTAGAAATAAATTATGGGGAAAAGATTAATGATTTTTTTCACTCATAGTTCAGTTTTGAAAACCTGATTAACTTACTTGTTAAAAAACAATCTATCTTAACCTACAAAAAAAAAAAATTGGCTTCTCCCAAGGGGAATATTTTTAAATCCCATATTTCACTAATTTCCCAAGTTATTTCATCAACAGTTTTACTGGTTGTTTGGTTTATTTCTTCAGTGCTTCTTAGCTTATTTGTTAATGATTTATATGACCTTATTTTTTTCTGGGTATCATAACTTTAAGTTACATGAATTATATTATTATATTCTGTTGTCCTAAATTACATCTTCTAATGGTAATGCTCACAGACAACATTTGACTATTAGCAATACCAGACTTAGATTGTAAAGATGCAGACAAGGGTTGGGAAATTTAAAAGTCATCCAGTAAGTGCACAATAAACAAGAGTATATTTAAAACATGTATCGGCTCCAAAAATATTTTTTTCAAAAAAAAATATTGTAACAAAAAATGTTTAAATATTTTTATTTTATTCCTATAAAAGGACATGCTTTTATTGGGTTTAGAGAGAGTGGAAAGGAGAGGGAGACAGAGAGAGCGGAACATTGATAGTTGCCTCCGGCTCATACCCTGATGGGGGATTGAACTACACATGTGCTCTGACTGAAGATTGAACTTGTGTCCTTTTGCTGTACAGGATGCTGCTCCAAACTGCTGAGTCACACCAAATATTTAATGTTTTGGCTAGGCAAAACTTTTTAAAATTCCATCATCTGAAACTAAAACGGTAATGGAAGAAAAATGATACTAAATGAAAGCAGGAATGAAGCAAAGACTGTTTATCATAACTTATACCCTTTTATTATTTTATTATTTATTATGAAATATACAGCTATAACTACAACTCTTTTTTAGCATGTATTGGGTATAAATAAGCTCCATTATAAATTTGTCATGCTATACATTTTTGTAAAAATAAAGTGCAGAATAACCTGAAAATTTATAATCCTATATAATAAAGATGTAATATGCAAACGGTCATTATGCTGTGAAGCATAATAACAACCACTTAATGTCCGGATCACAGATCAGTGGGAGGGTGGGGCAGTGAGCTACAAGTGGGTGACAGAGAGCTACAGGAGGGGCAGGGCAGCAAGCTGTGAAGGGAGGAGGGGTTTTGGGGGAGCTACAGTAGGGTGGGGCATGCTGAAACCGGTTTGACTCAGTGTATAGAGCCTTGGCTTGCAGACTGAAGGGTCTCAGGTTCAATTCTGGTCAAGGGCATGTACCTCGGTTGTGGGCACATCTCCAGTAGGGGGTGTGCAGGAGGCAGCTGATTGATGTTTCTCTCTCATCAGTGTTTCTAACTTTTTATTTCTCTCCCTTCCTCTCTGTAAAAGCATCAATAAAATAAAATATATTTAAAGTATATATATATATATATATATATATATATATACACACACACACACACACACACACACACACACACACATACACACACACACACACACACACACACAGTAGTGTGGGGCAGTTAGCAGAGAGCTACTGGCGAATGGATTTGTGCACAGGGTTACTAGTTGACAATAAGCCTAGTTAGTTATACAAAGATGTAAAATTGGGTCCTTACATTGGTAATTGTAATTCCACAAATTTTTTAAAAGCATGTTAGAAAATATAAATTTATTAATGGGTAAATTATTATAAAGGAGTATGGTCTAATTATTACATTTTGTCCTAGAAAACACAATTGCTATAACTAAAATCACACATCTTGTTTTGAGATGCTTTACTGGGGCCTGGATTTGGAAGAATGTAGTTGTATAATTCTTATCAACAGCAAAGCTAGAAGTTAAGAGTGGTGATGATTTAGCAACTTTTTTGCAGGATTACCATGGAGACTTAGTGATTTCTTTTGGTTTTCTCCAGGTGTCCTGAAAGCCTTCGGCCTGAAACAGTGAGGCCCTGTCTGCTTCCTTGTAGGAAGGACTGTATCGTGACCCCATACAGCGACTGGACGACGTGCCCTTCCTCATGCACAGAAGGTATGATCTGCAGGGTCCTGGAGGTACTTCCCCTAGAAGACCACTTGCCTGCACCGCTGAGTTCTCACTGAGCAATGTTTGTGATTCTTACATGGGTTGTATAATCCTGGTTTAACATGAATCCCGTAAAATGTTGGCTTCTGTCTAGAAAATAATATAGCTTTGCCAAAAGAATTAGTTTTATGTCAAAACTGACTTAAAACTTTACAATATAAGTAAAAGTGAAAGGATTCTAGGTGTTATTATATTTAACAGCTATACTAACAAAAGGGTAATATGCTAATTAGACTAGGTAGACCGGATATCTTCCGGATTTCAACTTCCTTCCAGACAAAGCCTAGGTGGCAGGAGCCAAGGCAGAGGTGGTTAGGAGTGAATAGGCCAGCAGGGGAGCAAGCACTTAGGGGCAATCAGGCTGGCGAGGGATCAAACATTTGGGGGCAGGATCAGGATGGTGTCAGGGAATAAGCAGAGAGGGGCTAGATCTGGCCAGAGCAGAGGGGCAAACAGTTATGGGTGAGAACATTCCACCGCAGGGGAGCAAGCAGTTAGGGGCCCCATAAGGCCTGCAAGGAGGAGTAAGAAGTTAGGGGACCATGAGGCCTGCAGGAGAGAGCAGTAAAGGGGCAATCAGCCTAGCAGAGAAGGAAGCTGAAGGCGATCAAGCCTGCAGAGAAGGGGGCCAGAGGAATGTGATCAGCTGGAAGTGGGCACCTGAACAGGTCAGTAGGGGCATGTAAGTAGCCAGAAGAGGGCACATCCGGAAGTGGGCAACTGAACAGAGAGGCGGGGGCTCTTGATCACCAGGAAGTGGGCACCGGAACAGGATGCTAGGGTCATGTGATCAGCCAAGAGTGGGCACCTGAACGGACAGGAAGGGGCTCTTGGTCACCAGGAAGTGGGCAGGTGAAGAGAGGTGGTGGGTCAGGCGATGATGTGAGAGTTGTTCTGCGAGGATGGAGGTGTGCCCACGTGAAGATTGGAGGGATGTGGGCAGGACCCCAGATGCTGCAGAGGTAGGAAGGACCCTCCTCAGAAGCCCTTGGGGGAAGCACAGCCCCAGACACCCTGGACTCAGAACGGGGAGAGCCTGTGTTCCTGTTTCTTTAAGCCAGTCTGTATTCGTGGGAGCAGCAGCCTCAGGAAATTGACATCTTCTTGACCCTTCTCTTGGGTCTTGGCTGGGTTCCTGGGACAGCAGGGGCTCACAGGTAGATTCATCCCTGTGTGTGTGCCTGGGCCCTGTCTCTTTCTATCCCTCTCCCCCCTCCCCCCCCCCCCCCCGTACATCCCAGGGAACTGAGGCAGTGACAGTGCAGTGGGCACACCAGGGCAGGCTGCATAGTGGGAAGTGCAGTTGACTTGGCACAGGGTCTCCTTAGGTTTCTGTGCCCCAGGCTGTAGGATGAGGCACAGTACTCCAATGTCTTGGACCTGCCAGGCCTTTCCCCTAATGAGTCCAGTCAGGGGCTCCCCTTTTTGAAGCAGGCGGATTGACAGTAGCCAACAACTGGTTTATATGCTGATTCTAGATGCCAAAACTGAGGCTCAGAGAGGGACAGCAGTGTACCCTTGCCTCGGCCCACCTCCCAGTCAACTCAGCCCAGCTGACAGGCGGCTCCACCAGGGTCCAGGGGTGCAGGGCCACATGATCAGACCAAGTGGGCACCTGAGAAGGGGGCAGGTGCAAGTGAGTAGCTGGAAGTGGTCCTATCCTGAGGGGGCAGGTGAACAGGGTTCGGGGCTTATGATCATCTGGAAGTGGTTACAGCTGGAAGCAGACTCAGAAATTGGGAAAGGGGCTGTGATCAGACAGAAGTGGACACACCCAGAAGTGGACACCTGAACAGATCAGTAGGGGCATGTAATCAGCCAGAAGTGGGCGCATCCGGAAGTGAGCATCTGAATATTTTGCCAGGGCATGTGATCAGCCCAAAGTAGGCACCTGAGTAGGGTGCCAGGGGCATGTGATCCCCCAAAAGTGGGCACCTGATCGGAGAGGTGGGTGCTCTTGATCACCAGGAACTGGGCAGGTGAACAGTGGGGCAGAGACACGTGATTATGCGAGAGATTTTCTGTGAGGATTGAGGAAGGCCCACGTGAAAATTGAAGGGATGTGGCCAGGAGCCCCCAGAAGGTGCAGATTTAGGAAGGACCCTCCCCTGAAGGCCTTGAAGGGAGCATAGCCCCAGACACCCTGATTTCAGATTCTGGACCCCCTGCCAGCCTGCTGGCCAGTCGTCTAGTCATCCCTTGCCAACGCCCCTGCTGGCCTTGTTGCCCCACGCAGCCTGCTGTTTGGTTGTTACTGTGAGGTCGTTGTGACCAATTTGCATATTACCCTTTTATTAATATAGATGTATACTGCCACTGCTTTATATATTTCAAAAAGAATATACAGTGATCTTATCGGTACTCATAGTTTCCATCCCACTTATCACAAGAAATAGCATGGCACCAAGTAGTTTCTGTTCAGATTCAATTGTACGAACCCAAAGGAATATTAAAGAAAGAGGTCCAATAGTTGCAGTGAGGGAAGAATTAGAGGAAGGAAAAGAATGAGAGATTGAAAAATCCAGATATATATGTAGATAGTTCTGTGGGTCCAGGCGATGATAAAAGGCATTTGGGAGTTCAAGGTGGGGATAGGGGGAGGAGGGTGCTAGTTTCTTGTGAGTAACGGGCATGTGAGATGCCCTGGTCTCTTGGGGGTGGGCAGGTTGCTTCTCTAAATAAAGATGCATGTTTCCACTCTGATACCATTTTCCCCTGGAGACCCTGGTGGGGTGGGACCGGAAGGGGCGGTTAGGAGTACAGAAATGCCAGCTCAGAACACTGCTGTCCTGGGAGCTAGAGACTCAGAGAGGCTTGAGCGCAGGTCATGTCACCAGGAGCAGGTCAGCCCTGCCCATTCCGTTTGGCATTTCTGCGGCATGCTGATTGAGTCTCCTATAACAAAAGGCTTTTAGAAACCCTTAGTCTCCGCACACAGATTTAAAAGGAAGAACTGCAATTGTGTGTTGAGGAAATAAAGACTCGAGGGTAGGAGAGGCTTGCTATTGGACAGCAGTGCCAAGATGCTTTGTTTCCTGGAGAAGCCTTGTCTGTTGAGCCCATAGATTGCTGTCACTGAGAAGAACGATACAGTGGTGTTAGAAAACTAGCCTTTTGTTATAAGGAAAATAAAGCATAGCGTGTGGTTAGTTTTTCTTTATTTGGTATGAAATGGGAATGGTCCAAGGTTTTGTTGAAATTACACTGACTTTCTCACACAATTAAAAAATGTAAACAAGTTGAATGTTCGAGGATAGATAACAGGCACAGGAAACTATAATTCCAGGGTGGGCAGTTCTTTTAAAGTTAGTTATGCAGGTGAAGTCTAAAGTTTATAAGAGTTTTGAATTAATGAACGTGTGGAGCTAACCTCCTTTTAAAAAGTAATTTAAAGAGGTAAAATTATGCTTTAGTATAGCAGAAAATGGAACAGAATAATGTAGTATCCCAGCAAGAAGAAAAAGAATTATTTGCAATGCTGTTCAGCCCCCTCTCAAGATATCTTGAATGCAATAAAGACCAGAAATTGAGTAGAGAGGGTTGAAGAATGGGAAGCAAAGACCTACTCCTCTGTATTCTTTCCCCCTTTTTCCTTATTAGAAAACAAAACCTCCTTCCTTCCCCCAATACTAAACGAAGGATAAGAATGGTCATTTAGTGTGTATACTCTTTTAAGAAGGTTAATGACAGATTATAAACAAAATAATAGTAGAAAATGTAAAAGGATGGAGTCAAGTAGTAAATGGGAGAAGAAGAGAAAAATTATACTATAAAGTTAGACTTAAGGTAAGCTGCTGCAATTGAGAAAAAAATTAGCTCAGAGATTCTGGTGAACAAAGCCAAAAATAGAAGCACAGTTGATTCTTTACTGATTGTCAGGGGAAACAAAATTTTTCCAAGCTCTAAATTATTAGAGGAATCTCTCACCTGGGCCTTAAAAATGGGATTCATCGGACAATAAAAATGGATGAATACTACATTAGCAATTTTATTAAAAGTCCTATTGGCATTTTTTAGATCTTTCTTTAGATAACAGATTTTTAACGTATAAAAGTTGGAGCTAGTATTCCAACCACTACTGTTAAACTAAAAACATGCATGACAGCATTTTCAAATACTTGAGTTCTCTGCGACTCACTACCTCCACTCCCTTATTCCCTACTCCATTACCTGTAGTATTCCAGTTATTTACTAATATAGTTAATATATTCATTAAGCGTACAGGTTTCCCTCACAATGGGGGTAATCCTAAAAAGTTACACATGAACCATACAATCTGAAATTGGGACAAGGCACATAAGGTTGTCTATTCTAGTAGATTTTTTTAAAATATATTTTATTGATTTTTCACAGAGAGGAAGGGAGAGAGATAGAGAGCTAGAAACATCAATGAGAGTCATCGATCAGCTGCCTCCTGCACGCCACCTACTGGGGATGTGCCTACAACCAGTGTACAGGCCCTTGACCAGAATCGAACCTGGGACCTTTCAGTCCACAGACCGACGCTCTATCCACTGAGCCAAACCGGTTTAGGCTATTCTAGTAGAATAGCCTGGGTATTCGTCACAGTTCCCTGGCAAGCTTTGTAAAAAATCAGACTTTTAAACTCAGCTGCAAAAAAATTCTGAGACATGGTTTTGTTTTTGTCTTTTTAAGGAAATTATCCTATGAAATCAGCTACTCAGGGGTCACTAATTTGGTCCATTCTCACATCTAACACAGGAATCTTCAGTCCACATTACTGGGAGTCAGTTGCCCAGACCACATTGAGGGATACCTTAACTTCATGAGAAAGGATGTTTCATTATCATAAAGCTCTAATTGTCAAATCATATTTTTCTACTAACATAACTTGAAGAATGTTTCATTTCATTTCTGGTTAAGCTTTCATTGTTCAGGGCTGCTAACTCTTCTGAATTTCTCTGTTCCTATGGTCTACACATTAAGTACTTAATGATCTTACAAAAAATTTAAATGCATTGTGCCAACTCCATTAAAATAATTCTCTAGGGTATTCTTTCCTAAGTGAAATTGTGCCATGCAGCTATTCATCTCTAAAGTGTATTTATTGTAAGTTGGAATATATTTTTATTAAAGTTGGCAATTCTTATACATCATTTGTTTCTAATTCTTAAAAAATTTGAGATAATACTGTCAAGTTTATCTCTTCATTATAAATAAATCTTATTTCCTTTGGCTTTTTTAACATCATTTGGAGTTATTTACTTAGATTAATGACCACTTTTTCAAATGCTTCTCTAAAAATTCCGCCTCCAGGAAGTGACTTTCATTTCACTACATACAGCCCTGATGTTAAAGAGTGACCTGAATTGAAGATCTTAGACTGTTTAACATGAATAATAAATGACTAGAATAATTTATGAGTTATGCATTTCAAATTAAGTGAATAACAAAGAAATAAAATTTCTCATTAAAATCTGGAATATATTCTCTTAAGAAGGATTCATTACATGTGTATGAGTCCCGTGTGGTAAACAGGGCTATGTGAAATAGCATGAAAATAAACTTAAGGTAGAGAAAAATAAATTAATTAGAGCTGTCATATTTCTCAAGGGGCAAGGAACATACAAAAGAGCAATTACTTTGCAACTGTGCATTGGGTAGCCTCGTTGACTATGGAACTGTTTTCCTCATTCTTCCCATTTTTAAATAGAAATTGATTGGGTTTTCGATATAAGCAGTCTTGGGGAGAATTTAGGAAATGATTAGGCTAGATGCATCCTCTCATTCAGGGATGTCAAAGCACGTATAGCTAGAGGCCATGTGCTTTCTTCACACAGGATGGGATTTAGAGAGTCTTTTATCAGTGCAGAGTACAGAGGTTAAAAAGCTGCCTCATTCTAGGGAATTCCGGAGTCAAGAAGCAGTCTCGGCACCGGGTCATCATCCAGCTGCCAGCCAATGGAGGCAGGGACTGCACTGATCCTCTCTATGAAGAGAAGGCCTGCGAGGCCCCTCAAATGTGCCACAGCTACAGGTAAGAGGGTAATAGAAACCGCACTGTGACCAATGCATTGAGCAAAATGCTTCAAGTCCAACGCTATCCTGTAGGCTCAGTGAAGTTCGGGATGTTTATAGCTGTATGTGCCATCGCTAGCCTTTTTAAAGAGCTGTTCACCTGCTGAAATAATCTCCAGAGACAATTACATAAATCCCCATGCTGTATTATTAGCTCCAGGAGTTTGGGAAAAACTTTATGTGTTGACGTAAACTCTAAGGAATGCAGAGAACCTGTTAATAATTATGTAAATATATGTTTTAGGAAGCAATTCTTTTTCACTGAGAGAAATAGTCTAAGCAGCTGTTCCTCCCAAATGCTGGCATCCTTGCTCACAAAATGATATCTTTATTTCAGGGATGCTAGTGAGATATTGGTTCTATTCGTTGGTTCTATTCTGGCCACCTCAAAGAAAATTAAGATTATTATTAAAGTTATATATCATCATTCTGACAATTATTGGAGAAATTTTTCTTCAGAATTATGAAAAGGAAATATAGACCTAATTGAAACAATGCGGCATATAATTGCAATCTTGACAACAAATGAAATATTATGGCATCCATTGATGGAATGTGTGATCACAAAATAGCAATTTAGGGTGAAATTGATGGCAGATCTGCCATCTTCATTTATCTGTATTTAGTTCTAACAAATAATAATAATAATTTTGAAAAATAGAATAATTGCATGTTTAGACGGTGAACACTAACATCAATTAGACCAAATGTATTTATTTGGTGGATTTGTTTCTGTAAAGTGCATTATAATTGCAGACTCTGAATTGTTGCTACAACACTAACCAAAAGAACACCATAGAAAAGGCTCACACCATGAATGCAGTTTTATATCCTGAATATAAAATAAACACACCTCTACTAAACAGAATGCATCACTCTGGTACCATCTGGTACATCTGCTGGCAGTTCCAATCATTAAGAAAGCTAAATGCTTTCTATAGAGTTTATTCTTATAAATCTTGGCCATGTTGAACTGTGTCTCCACTATCATAGAAAGTACTGCTCTGTTTAATGCTGCCTTTTTATAATACTTTGGAGACCTACATTACATATAGATAGGACTGAGCATCATCAAATAAATTCCTCCTTGCAGTCATGCTTCCATGTCGCCATATCCCTGATTGGCCTGGCATTTTTGCTTCCTCTCCATGAGGTTTCTTGTCCTTTCTTTTAGGTGGAAGACGCACAAATGGCGCAGGTGCCAGCTGGTCCCTTGGAGCGTGCAGCAGGACAGCCCCGGAGCACAGGAGGGCTGTGGCCCCGGACGACAAGCCAGAGGTGGGAGGCCTTGTTCCACAGCTGATTTGCTTTTCATTTATCCAACATCTCTAACCTACCCGCAAGTTTGATGAGTTTGTCATTTGATGCCATGCTTGGCCAATGGAGCAGAGCAAGCATGCATCTGCTTACTACTCATTCTACATAGCACAGAAACGTGTCTTTTTAAATTGTGCCCTTTATTCTTTGGCATTAGCCTATAATTGCTCTGCTTGAATTTTTCCCTTGCTGATGTCTAGAAGACAATCAGATGAAGCTTTTGAGAGGGTTATGCCACAGATTGTACACCGCAGCTTGATGTTTGTTGTGGTGGTTTGTTTGGGGATGATGGTCTTCCATAATACTTTTGCTTGTCACCTTCACAATAAGATCCTTTGTATCCTTGCCCATCTGCATGCAATGTAATATAATTGGCTAAGCTTCCCAGAAATTCCCAGCAATGACATCCCTAACATTGCCAGGGCAATCTCCAGTGTTGTTCATAATGCAGTACAGATGTTTAAAAGGCAGGTTTGTGTACTTCAACCTGCCATATGTGGACAGCAGTCTGGCTGCACTGCTCGATAATGTGGAATCCTGAAGAAATGAGTGATGGAAATGTTTCCAACTTGCCAATATTATTTACTGGGTATCATTAATAATACGGACAAAGCTTTGGACTTGTTATTTATGCATGTAGCCAGTTAAGTCAAGTCTTTTAGCATGTAACTCCTACATACTTAAAATGTAGTTGAATATGCAATTGAAAACATTGCCACCACCTCTCTTTCATTCATAAAGACATATTTTGATCCCTCATTCGTTGTTATATATTTGATGATGCAAAAGTCTAAACATACAGAATAGAATTCCAGCCTTTGCTGCTGTGATCTGGAGCCCTTTTTTTTTTTTTTTTTTTTTTTTTTTTGCAGTAAGAAGATTGCTTCCCTAATTTGGAAAAACAAAACAAAACAAAACAAAAAACCCTGCTACTTTGTAAAAGTCTTCTATTTATATAACCATCATTTTAGAAGTCTTTATTTGAAATATAAAATTTAGTTTACAAATAATAATGACCAACTATGGACTTTTAGAAATTCATTTTATATGTTTACTTTTCATTATGTATCCTCCACCATCAGCTTTAACTAAAAAAATAACCATCTCCTTTACAGTTATAGAGATTTAGGTATTTAGAATTGAAAGTCATTCTCATTTCAACCCATTCATTGAGAAATTGGGTGATATGAGGTTTTCTTGTCATGCCCTACTAATTCCTCCTTGAATCAAGCACACATTTTTTTCTGGTTTATTTTATTTTATTTTTTAATTTATTGATTAAAGTATCAGATATTTGTCCTCATGCCCCCCTATTCCCATCCCAAACCCCTCCCCACACATGTTCCCACCCCCCTACTGTCTGTGACCTCTGGTTAGGCTCATATGCATGCACACTAGTCCTTTGGTTGATCTCTCTTCCCTATCCCACCCTCCTCTACCTTCCCTCTGGGGTCCGACAATCTGATTGATGCTGTTCTTGTTCATCAGTCTATACTGTTCATCATTTCCCTTAGATGCGTGAGCTCATGTGATAATAGAAATACACTTATAAGAACCAAAAATGAGACAAGCAATAATGGTTATTCAAGCACACATTTGCATGTAATTTGGGCCCTACATAGAGTTTATAATGAAAACAAGTATGAGTTTGGGAATCAGGAAACACAATATTTAGTCCTTGTCCTTTCACTAATACACTGCAAGTCTTATTCATTACTTCACCTATCTGGTCTTCATCTATTTAAATGGGGGGAAAAAAGAAAGAAAAAAGAGAGGATTGGATGAAATGATCTTCTAGGATTATCCCAATATTCATATTTTGCAATCTATGCACAGTTAATATTCAGGGATCCAAGTGTGTGAATTGAGATTAGGTAAAACAGCCCATATATTTACAGTCTACCACTGGAGGAAATATAAGATATGGTGGCAGCAGCACAAGTGTGAAAACAGCTTCAGTTCCAGACTCTTTTACTCAACAACTGCAGAACCTTGTTCGTTTATTTCTTCCCTCTGAGGCTGAGAACATAATGCTCTCAGATCGCTTTGCACATGTCAAGTCTCCATTAAATGTTAAATCCTCCCCCCTTCTCGTTCATTATGGCCCCAGTGGATGTGCACCTGGGTCATAGCTGGCATGAGAGCAACGATATTAACATGGGTCTTTTGTAGCTTTGACATGAAATCTGTATGAGAACTGCTCTGTCTGTGATTGGTAATCTTGTTATCTCCAAATCTGAAAACACCAGTTCATTCTTTATTTCAGGAGGCTGACTGCTTTGTAGTACCTAATATGATAACCCACTCACACCCACTCACATGTGAAAAGGAGTATTTGGCTTCCCCCATGCTTTTCTGATTGTTTCATTCTTGCTTTCCTCTTGCTGGTTCCTCTTCCTCTGTCTGCACTTAAACAATGACTTCTAATCTTGGAATACTTGTCAGATGACTTACTCTATCTTGGCAACCTTTTCTTTGCCCAGGCTATCTGAAAAGAAACATCATTTCTGCATATATTAAGAGCCCTTTTAAACTCCATATGAAGGTAATCTCTGTTGCTTGGGAGATTAACTATTTTTTTCTTAGAACCTATGTTCATACAGAAACATGAAATGGGGAAAATCAAGAGTGTAAAAATATATTTTGCTAATGAAATACTGGCAACATTTTCATCTTTTGATGGTCATAGCTGTTTTTAGGATTCTGCATGATTCACCTATCATATTCTTGCTATTTTCACCTTTGTTTTTATCTGGTCAGACTTAAGAAGTGCCTATTGTGCTATTTTTTAATGATTAAAGAAACTGTGTATTAAGGATTAGCATCAGTCAGGAAAGACTAGAGAGAAACTGCATCCTGTCCTCTCTAGTACACCATATTTCCTCATTCCAGTCCCTCATTCAACTCTGAGTGCATTCAGAAGACTGTGTAGCAAGAGCCATGAGTATAGGGAAAGAATGAAGATGTTCAGGACGGGGTGGGGGAGCTTACATTGGGTTGGGAAGCTGTGTCACTGGTAGCATTATCCAACATGTAGGAGTTAAAGGCTGATCCATTGCAAAAGCCATAATTTGAAGCTAAAGAGCTTAAGAAAGAACTAAATGGTAAGCTGAGACCGCAATATTAGAATTAGCAGAAAAGGGCTGGGGGATACAAAATAAGGTCAATTCTGTAAGCTAAGCATTTGAGGTAAGAAAAATAAAAACATTAAATATGTTCATAGAAAAGTGGGTAATTGAAGCTCTGAAGACAAGCTGGAGCCCAGGGTGATTTTGTAGAAGGCTATAAATGTCAGGACCAGTATTTTAGGCTTTGTTCAATAAGGAAGCACCTGATGAAAGCCGTGTTTTATCTGTCAGCGTGTAGGGAATAATTTAGAAGGATAATCCACATAGGTCTGGATGACAGCTAGTACACTATTGTAGCAATGCAAAGATGAAGTAATAGGGTCTGAGGAGCCACAGTGGTGGGAATGGGCAAAAAATAAATAGACTTTCAACATACAATAAAGTAATTTTAGGACTTAGTGGCAGGTGAGAGTGGCAGAAATAGGAATAAGCAAGTCAAAGATTTGATTCTTAAACACCAACATTTTTAATAGTTTGAGAATAGTTACTGCATATTGATGGAAATTCTTAGATCTGAAACTAGAGCTGATTTTAGAGAGTGTATTTTGTATACTGTGCATTAGAGGTGACAGCAGGAGGGCCGATTAAAAACATCCAGGTATGCATTTGAAATTTAGCTATAGATATAGCTGAGGACAGAAGATAGAAATTTGGGTCAGATTTCCAGAAAGGGTTTTGCTGAAGCCATAGAAGAAGCTAAGGCCCCCAAAATACATCACATACAGCCAGAAAAGTGATTATTGCATGTTGCCATTAATAGATTTCTTTTTCTATAACCTGTTTGTATTTGCAGTGTTTAAGCATTTCTTTTTACTAAAGAACTAACTGGTATTAACTTCAAATTACTATTTCTTTGCTATATCAGAAATAATACCCAATGAATTAACTTTACCATTCTATGATTCTGAAGGTAGAAATTGTTATCCCATCAATTTTACCAGACCATTGGTCTAGACCGTGATCCATAAACAATGGCCTGTGTACCAAACCAGCCCATAGTCTTTTTTTAAAAATATATATTTTATTAAATTTTTACAGAGAGGAAGGGAAAGGGATAAAGAGCCAGAAACATTGATGACAGAGAAATATCAACCAGCTGCCTCTTGTACACCCCCTACTGGGGATGTGCCCGCAACCATGATACATGCTCTTGACCAGAATGGAACCCAAGACCCTTCAGTCTGCAGGCCTACACTCTATACACTGAGCCAAACCGGTTAGGGCCCTAGCTGCCAGGACAGCAGGGGCTGGTCAGGCTCCCCGTGGGTTTGAGCAGGAGCTGGTCTATGAGGCCAGCCAGGAGAGAGCGTACTGCCCGCTCGGCTTCCATACAGTGTCCCTGGGCAGCCCAGAGGCCCATGCTATGCCCTTGCCAGTGGCCAGCCATGCTCACCACATTTCCGCGTGGGGACTCAGGTGCCATGACTCAGGCAGAGGGGGGCACATGGGAGCCCGGGGTCCCAGGTGCTACCCAGAGTCCAGAAATGTCAGCTGGGACCTGCCCTTCCACATCAGACTCTTGCTCTTCAATTGCCAGCCATGACTAGGGACCACACCCATGCATGAATTTTGTGCAACGGGCCTCTATTGTGTGTGTGTGTGTGTGTGTGTGTGTGTGTGTGTGTGTGTGTATATATATATATATATATATATATATTATTCCAGTGTTTATTACTTTGTGGCACATACCAAGAGTATGATACACAATTATAATAGATTAGATGCTGATATCTCTTATAAATAACTTCAAATTTGGTCTTGCTCAATCTCAGAGTAGTCTTCATGCTTCTTCTGACAAGTATACTTGCTATAAATAAGATAGAACCAGAGCAA